CAATACAAATTGAAAAAGTCAACAAAAGTCATCAAATTCGCTCAACTGCTTTCCTTACAACTCCATCATCGTCCACCATTAATTTTTTATGGAGTGTTTGTTGTTGATTGGAAATTTCTGTTCGCAACATTTTGTGTCATTCTTGGCGATATTCTGGTTTTATTGTAAAGAATGGAATTGAAATACTTAGTATGTAATTACCTAAATATGTAGTGTTGGAAATGTAAAGTTTCCCTTCATCATTTGTATTTCTAGGCTTGTGAATTATCTTTTGAATATTGTGCCTATTAATTGATTGAAATAAAACTTCTGATATATTCTACTAATTTCCTTAAAAGTATTGAATAATCAATTATTTCATGCTTTTCATAATTATTTCAGAGTTTTCTTCATTTAAGTATCAATTATGAAGCTTTCAAGTTGGAAAAACGGAGACAACATTTTCAAATTCTTTTTCATAATTTTGAGGATTCATGGCTTCATCTGTTTCACAATTGAATATACGCAAGATAAGAGATTAAAATTTAAGAAGTCGTGGTGGGAATTGGTTTGGTTCGTTTTAAGTTCCATCCCAAATATGTTAGTATTGAGTTTAATAAAATTAAACTCCAAATACGAATATAAGGATGAAGAAGTTGTCGAAGTATTCTCATTTCTGATAATCTTTTTATTTTACTCCAATGTATTTAAATTCGTGTACACGAGAATATTTCAATATTTGATGGCTAAAACTTCCTTCAAAATATTTGCGATATTTAAGATGATTGAAATTGAGGTATTAATGGCAATTTTAACTTATTAATTTTTAAAATCTTAATATTTTCAGTCAAAAGGAACGCGCATTGAAAGAATCATTGCATCGAAAATTGAAAGAATGAAAACGACGAGTTTAATGATTTTGTGTGCTTCTGTTATTTTCTTAATCTCACAAATGCTATTAGTATATCAATACTTAGTTCAAGCATCAATTATCAAAAACTTCGATTTGTATGAATTTATCATTTTTTCATGTTGGTCTTATCATCTCTCATGTTATTATTATTTGTTTCATAGCTTAATTCTGTTTATAATATCAATCAACCTTATGCTTGGTGGTGTTGAAGCGTTTGTCGTCAACATTATCGAGAAATCACATCTTCTGAAGGAATCAGAAATGGGGCTTGTCTTATTTCCTGCAGTGGAATTTT